TAATACATATAATTATATTGAGTGATAACCCAAACATAAAGTGTTTAGAAGTGTTTAGAAGCCAGTACTACAGTATATTTTTTTATCCAAGTTGAATTTCAGACCATTTAGTCACTTCATGAGAAACCCGAAATGTTCCAATAAAGAACAATTTGAAATTTAAACAAAACCTGACAGGTTGTTTTAGGATGTAGTACAGGTTGTAGTAGAATCTGTTGAATATCTCAGATATCTATTTTATATTGTCCAGCTTCTTTCTGTAGAAATTATTAATGGGTGTGTGCTTATATGTAGGGGAGTGTGGGTTGTAATGTTATTTTGTTTAATCAATTATTAACATTCTGTGCCACCAGTAAACATCAGGTCTCATGCTATGCCCTTTAAACACAAAACAGTCTAGGTGGTGAATTAGTATGGATAATTACTACAATTCATATTTTCATTCTAGGAGTTTTTCTTTAAGTGGAGGAAAAACTTTGTTTAGTAAGGTAACAATAAGATTGACTCTCTGTTTTTCTTTCCAAATTAATTCACATCACATCCAATGTTTCATATTGAATGCATTTGGATTCTTACAGTTGAGTTTTGCATTCAAGTCAAGCCCTTGATAATGAGGAATTACGTTACCGAGAAAGGCAAGGCCTATAAGGGTACTATGCACTGTAATTTTAAACAAAAGGGCAAACTGCTTTTTAATGAGATGAGAAAGTCACAACAATATTTATGAATAATAGCAGTGCATGTGCAAAATAATGCTGTGCTTGAAAAATAATGGCAAATGTTAGAGGTGATGTGACATTTCGGTTAAAGTGCTTTTTTTTCTAGGGCTTTATCAAACTTGCTGAATGAAAAGAAGCCTAAATACATACATTGCTAACACAAGTGAGTTTGCAGAAAGTGTTGTAAAACTGCTCATCTTCTCTTCCTTTAACAGAGAATACCAGTTTGGTGCTTTGATTTTGATTTTTTACATAAAGCCTGAAGCCATACATCTTCTTGTTCATACAGTTTCCTAGCACATGATCTAAAGAAATAGTTCGGCATGGTTAACCCTTCATAGCCATAATGCTTTGGTAGATGCTATGTCGCAAAAAGCACACCAACAATGAACTGTTGCCTTTATTCACAAAACATTCAGTGTTAGCATTATGGATTCCAAAGACTATGAATGTCAAGATGATTTATTAAAATTAATAAAGAATAACTTTATACGCAACAAATTTAAAATGATCCAGGTGCAATGTGATTAAACATGTCAATTTATGTTTGTGTTTTATTCAGTTTAGAGGTGTTTGGGCAATAGAAAATTTGTGGTACATCCTATGTGACTAACATATTCTAAAGAGATATGATTTTAAGCCCATTTGGAGGAGTTGTAACATACTTGTAGTTCAACATTGTATGAATAAATTTCTGTGCACCTGATTGTTAGGAAGAGAACTGTATGTGTGGTGATGAATAAGTGACCATTAAAGTAATTTTAGGTCTGACCACCATCAAATGATAAGATGTCCAAAACAGACTACTTTGCATGGTTCACAAGATGATTTACAATAGGAGCAAAAGGAGTCATACGGTAGAAGAATCAGGTGCTGAGAGCCCAAACTTGCATGTGCACTCAGTGGCATTTAAATTAGCCGTTTTTGTGGATTAGCTTTACTTATTTACTCTTTATTCTTGATAAATGGGTTTATAAAAAGGTATCCTGCTGTTACTGTAAACAGGATAGACAGTTGAATAATTCATCAGCAACAAATTAAAAAAATCTAATGATTTACCATATTCAGTGAAAGAAACTACTTTTAATATTGAATTAAAATGTGTATATATGCAGCCTTCCGTTGTGTGTTTGCATGTTTGTGAACAGTGTTGAACAGTAGATCACAAACATCCGTACGTACTGTAGATAAAAGGATGATTTTTTTTGTTCGTTTGAGAAGGCCATTAAGTTCGAGATTACACATTGTGAAGGAGAACTCTAAAATAAAAAAATGTTTACTTAATATTAAGCCTAAAAGTACGTTCTGGAATACATTTTTGCAAAATGATTTGCATAAAATTATTTTCGTCTTACTTTCATATTACTACTACTGCTACTACTAATAATGAATGATATACAGCGCATAAATACTACTGAATGAATTAAAATCAAAAGCTGCTGTCTTTGACGGCACAGCATGACGCTTTCGGTGAAAAGTAATCTGGGATTGCGATCCTTACAGAGCGTAGTTTCATTTCATGTAAGAAACGTACGTCCCCTGTGGTAGTCCTGTGTATCTTTGTCCCGGATTTGTGTGGCCTTCACCTTAGCGTATACTTGTAACACCAGAACCGAAAGCCAGAAATTTTAAAACAATAACAACAGCGTGTGTAACTTTAACATTGGTTTACACACAGTAATTGAACAGAAACTCCGAAGATACAAAACGTCCAGAAGACACTGCTTTCGATGTACGTAAATTTCCTAGACCGAATGTTCTCAAAAAATGTGCTTGACACTTGTGTGGCTTGTTTCTTTACCACGGTTCTTGCTCTATATAGATCCCGAGGTACGAGATGTAAAGTAGCTGTATTAATTCTATAGAGCGCATTAACTTGTAGCCCCCACAGGGCAAGCAAGCGACCTGTTTCTCTGTGATTAGCGAAGTCTGCTGCTCAGAAGGAGATTTTCTGAGAGCAGTAATTGATGTGAGAGACGGCTCAGTGGACTAATCTTCTCTAGTGATCGTTTGTTTTTCAATATGTTCATCCCTATTATGTCCGTGGTTTATCAAATACAAGGAGATCCCCCCCCAAAAAAATAAAATAAAAATGACTGCAAAACATACTGAATAAAAAGGGCTAAATATAACCGTAGCGCACCAAAAAATGCGCGGCACACTGAAACATTTATCTCTCAGTATGGTATAGCCTACTTACTAAACCCGGTGGAGCGCAATTCATAAAAATAACAAGAAAGCTTATTTTCCCAGTCCCATAAAATCTTAAAGACCTCTGACATAACACGAAATAATAGCTTGACAAACTTATTAATAATAAATGCAGTGTTCTGCATCTGACAAGTTATAATAACCCCTATGGTTAGTACGTTTAAGCGATAAGATGTGAACGCTTTACCAGCAGACACAGAGACGTTTGCGTGTGCAAACATCTTTATCTGCAGTCTGTTAATCGCTTCGTCTTAATATAGAAGGAACATAATAATACTTTTAATAATAATAATAATAATGCACGTTAATGAGCTTTGAATTAATAGTATTGCTAATTTGTATCCACTTTTGAGCTACAGTTCATTTCACACCTTCAGTTACAATGTATGAATGGAAATTTGAACTTAGGCCAAATCGTGCAAAATGTTGTTAATATAATAAACTTAAAAGGAGGAACAAACCGTTTACTTGTCTGTTGTCCACCATAATATATATTTTTTCATTCTTCACTGGCAAATGTAATGTTTGACGTTTGCAGCAAACATGCAGCTTAAATAGGGAGGTTGCGTGACTAATGAAGAACTTGGTCAATCCTTCCATTCGAATAACTTAAACTTAACAGGGCTCTAAAAAGAAGTGAAATATTTCTTATTTGATAGCCCTTTTTGTTGGATCACAAAAATAAGTTTGGATACAACTGCATTAATAGGCTATTATACATAACATTGATGTATAGATACATCATTGTGCATGCTTCATTCTCACGCAAATATTTCAACAACGCTTTCATAAAAAACGTTTGGTGATAAAAATCCCACCGCAGACTTTCATAAGGCATCTTTCACCTTGACCACACAAATAACATATATATATAATTTATTACTGGGCTGCAAATCTAAATAAATGTAAGTTACCATAATGTTGGCATTTTTATTAAATGTACCGTAGGTTATCATAATTACAATAAATTGATGTCTAACATATATGTTAACAGTAGTGAAAACAGTTTTTTTTAACTGGATGTTCAAGTCAAGTTCAGAGCCTGATGATCAATACTTTAACCTCGGAGGAGGGGTTAGATGAAAGAGCTCTTTGTTTGATGTAAGCAAACTTTAATTTTCCTTTGCCAGTTGTTTTGCCGAAGTGTATTAGCCACCACAGACAAAGCCCTGCTACTGTACATTGGCTAGTGAATTAATTTCCCAAGTTTTGTGATAATAAAGGTCTAATTTAATTTACATATTTATCAGAAATTAGAGCTGCTTCGATTTCTCATTGGTCATTTTTTATGATTTCCAGAACGGGGTTTGGAGAGATTTGTGATGATTTCAATCGAAGAGGCACAATGTTTATGTTTAGATTATTTTTATCTTGCTATCAAAGAAAGAAGTGAAAGAAAGGAAAAGAAAACGAATAAACGCATGGGTTGGTGGGTGGAATTTGGTCTTTTATCTTCTGCTTACCTTACAGACAAAAAAAATAAAATGTGTGCATTTTAGTTGAGGTTGGTTTGATCTAATCTTCCTTACAGTGTGACCGAGAAAACAAATGAAGTTAATGTTCCTTGTCTAATTCTGTACACCACAGTTAACAATGCATACAGAGACGTACACAGCCAGCTCTTAACTTTTAAATGACCTCATTCGTAATATAAAGCAAACAATCAATCCAAATTGGCTGTATCTACTATTTAGAACTCACAGATGTCCAATATAGAACTACCGAAGTTAACCCTTCCATCCCAACCATCAAAAAATTGCCAGACAACAGAGAACTAGAGTTGTCCACTTGGCTTACTGTTAACTTCATCAGCCGCTATGAGTTTATTGTGCTGATGTCCTTAGAAGAGCCTGTTAGGGAACCACCGCTACAATTTAGTAACACCAACAAAGAAAAACATGCACTGAATTTGAGTTTGTCGCGCACCAAATGCACACAGCCTTAAACCTCTGCGCTTGCACTCATTACGAATGAAATTGTTTCGCGAAGCGGCCCCAACAGTGACAACCTGAAAATAGCACTTTATTGTTAAAAAAAAGTAATGATCCTAGGTTCTACAGAGAAACCGACCTTTATGCATTCCCGTGAACCTGTCTTTCAGCACGGTGAGTTCATAGATCTTGCCGAATTCCTCAAACAGGGGCTTAAGATCTTTCTCCTCCAGGTTTCTAGGGATCTGCCCGATAAAGAGCTTGATGGCATCGTGGTCTTTCATGGGAATGGTGCTCTGCCCGATGCTCAGCCCGTTCATCCTGCCGGAGCTGTTCGTGGTGCTGAAGCCATTCTCCTGCTGCACTCCGTTCGTAGTGACTGTAGCCATCTTTTTCCAATGGGCCGGCTATTCTCCCTCTCTCTCTCGCTCTCTCTCACGCACACACCCGCTCTCTCTCTTTCTCTCCTGTATTTCTCTCTCTCCCTCCCTCGGTCCTTTAAATTTCGCCTTATTTATCTTTTATATTTTCCTTCCCTCTCGTTCTCCCTCGGTTTCTTTCTCCGTGTCAGCTGCCACTCTGCCTTATGACGTCAGCTCACGGGCTCTTGACTAGACCCCCATCCAATTTGCATAATAAGTACGTCTAAGCCAATCAGAAGAGGCAGTGGCCAGCGGCCTAAGGGGTGGAGGGTTACATCCAAACATTTGTGTACGAGAGAGATTGGAAACTTGAAAGCAAGGAAACCGAAGTAAAAACTAAATTACATTACTTTTTCAACGTGTCACCTCCAATATAATGCGAACTAAAAAAAATCTCCTCTTTTCCGAGCATGTAAAAGGCAACATCAGATTCATAAATGTATATGCGTGTTTGAATGAGTATGTTTATCATTTTTCTGTACTTGTGGTGAATATTGGTCGCTTCGGATAATGATGGCTGCTCAAAAATAAAATAACATGATTTAATTTCTAGCGAGTTACTAAATCTAAATTAGATTTTGCGGAACTAAGTTAGGTCAAAGCAGCGTTGCTTTAAAATTTAACAAGCTTTGTTTATGCAAACAGCGGAATATCAGTCGCTTCTCGGGAAATTCTAACCACTATTACGCTCTTAAACGTTGCTCATCAAACAGTGCATTTCTGAAGAGAATAAGACCTGTTTTCAGTTGTTCCGCTTACATAACTACTGTAACAAGAACACGCTTTTCTTGCACCTTGACTTCATCACATTGATACTTTAGGCTAGGAGACATGTTCTGCTCTTCTTAAGCTTTTTTTTTTCTTAAAAAAGGATCACCCCCCCACGCAAATTCGCCTCTTGTGTCCGTCATCAATTACCGTCCTAACTAAAAGTTTGGGAGAGTCTAAAGAAAGGAAAGACGAAGTTACAAAAACAGCTCTTTGTCTGAGCTAAGGTTTCGTATTCGGTCTGCGCACATAGATGCCTGAACAAAGCAATATGGCGCACTTAAATTGCTTAATAATAAGCGAAGATTTTGTACTTTCTGCATTCAAACCATTTGCACCGGACATTCTTCGCCTCTCGGTCTGTCACACTTGGGCAAGGGTACTGAACGCACCCCTTTCTACTTGTTGCTGGCCGTGGTGCTGACTCGCGTGTAGCTGCGAAAGATGCCGAGAGAATGGTTAAAACCAAAGAAGATTACGCTTTCATTACTATCATTACATAGTCGAATCATTACAGCCTTAGTAATACTGCCTAGAACACTGCTAATGCTATCACAGAACAACGAATGATTGCAATGTCTGGTTTAAGAAATTCGAATAAAGATTAAAGATTGAAAACAATGTACTCTGTTAGAAGGAGGTTAGACAATTGCTCAGAAAACAACAACTAATCACAAAACGGCTGAAGGATTCGATGAAAAGTTACACACCAGAAATGGCGTAGCTAATGTGCGTACGGAGAAAACAGCCTTTATGCCCGGATTCTATATAGCGGACTAGATGCACTACCAAATGAAGTAAAGTATCAAGAACAGGAAAAAAATGGAACACATCAGCAATTATGACACATCAATTTACTTCCCTGAAGGAAGAATAGAAGAATTGGTAAAAAAAAAATCTGATTTAATTTATCACAAAATATATCAAATAAACTTATACTATTGATATTTATGCATTTGACTAGTATATTTTTACCAGAATACTTACTAAAGAACCCCATACATATTGATATAAAGCTTATTTGTGATGATACGAATACGCATCTTTCTAAGAAGCACAACACGGTATTGTAGAAATGAAATAATTTTGGTTTGAATTAGGAGTGGGCTCTTCAATCTCCCACTGCCTACTTCACCCTACTACATCACAGCCAATATTTTTTTTCTCACATTAAAATTGCATAATGTAAACCACAGATTATTTCTCAAAAGGAAAGAAATCTTGACTTACATTAAATTCAATACACATTCATAGCATATCCAGAGAATGCAGCTTGAAGGCAGCTTGAAAGCACCGTGGACATACTTGTTCAAACCATGAAATGCATTTATTTCCATAAAGGCATAAATAATTTAGTTTAGTTCCAGTGCCATTATTTGTTTTGCAATTTTGTTTTTTGTCAATTCTTATAAGGGATCTGCACTGCAGAACCATGAAGATTCAGTGGTGTCTGACTTAGATGAATTATCATTTTAAGTTTAGGAAAGGCAATTATTTTTCTCTTAAAGCAACAATTTAAATTTGTCAATTGACACAACCCAATCTGTCACTGCAAACTCTCACTGATGTGACCAAACAGGGTTGGCATTCCTTGAGAAAATGGAGAGGTTTATTTAATACAACAGCTAACTATATTCCATAAAATCTCTAAAAGATAGTAACACTGGAACAATGGATAGTGTTGTATGACAGCTGAAATATGAAAAGGGCTCAGATTGGAATGCATTGTAGCAATGTGATATAAGATTAGCATAAAGAAAAAACACAACTTCCTTTGTTCAGGCAGCACAAATTGCACTGTACTTGTCTGTCATTCAATAATGTTTGTAATGGTAGAAATAAGCAGTCTGAGGTCTGACTTATGCACATATCACAATAGTGTTACAACTCCGATTTATTGAAGGTAATTGACGTGGTAGATTAATTGGACCTGGTGTGAGTGTGTGCATGCTTGTGTCTATGTGTGCCCAATGATGGACTGGCATCCCACCCAAGGTGTATCCTGCCTTGTGCTTCTTGCTTGCTGGAATAGCTCTGGCTCCCCTGTGACCTTATATTGGATAAAGCACTTAGAAAATGGATGAATGGGTGGAATTGATTTGGTTGCTGTTTAATTTTTTTCCCCAAATTTATAGAATAGTCATGTTGAAAATGTGTCCGTGTTGCAATATTAACTACTCTTCCTTTTTCGTTTGGACCTCACTGTATAAAAATAAGTACCTATATAAGGCTGACTATTTCTTTTACATTTTCTACACTTACTGTAGTTCTACCAGTGGTTATGAACCATATTAACAGATAATGCCGGAGGCCACTGTAAGGGAGCTTTTTGCTTGACCCCTGCTGCTTTTCTGTTCTCATAAATCATCTTGTGTCAGAGGATAAGCCGTTCGAAATTGGCTTATTGATGGATTCCTCCAATTAAACTAGATATTTATGATGGTATATTACAAACAATATGGTTAGCGTGGCTGGAGGTGCACACTAAGTAAAACTGCACAATAATGAAGGTGTTCTCCTGGGTGTAATTCAGTTTCCTTTATTGTTCTCTATACTAGCACATGTATGTGTGGAAAACCCATCGTGGCATGCTAATTATTAACTATCAGAGCTCTGATTTTGAAACAGAACAAGAATTTAACAGATATATTATTAAATGTAAATACTGTATGTCATTGAAGGTGCCTGCTTGCATCAGAATCCTCCAAATGAAACAATATTAAAAAGTCATGTGTTTTCTGCTAAATTAGCTACTGGACTATCTGACATCTATGAGTCTTTGACTATGCCTTAATGAATACTGATGGCTTTTGATGATAGGAACAGCAATTTTGTTGCTTAACACACAAAGTGAAACCCTTTTAAGTTAGGAAATGCATATATCACTTTAATTTGCAAAAACTTAGTAATAAAAGTTTTAATTAGAAATATAAATAGTTTCTGCGCTCTTAGGATTATGCACTTCATCGAGGGACGGTTAAAACATTTAAGAAAAGTTCATTTTAAATGTGTATAGTGTTGCCATCAGTTTAACACGTGTACACATGCCTTTAATATATCTTTACATTTGAAGATGAGAACATCCTGAATGTATCACAAAGTTGTATTACAAACATCTTCTTGAGCTTTGGCTGCTGACAATTCCACAGTATATCCATCCTGCTTGGTGATCACTGGAGCTACACAAAACATCAAACTCCAAAAGCATAAAAGAGTATTAGTGATGGAAAATGCATGTTATAAAAGCTCACGAAGAACTGCTTTTGGGATAAACAACAAACTTATTTTTTATTCTGATTTTCTTCATAGAAAAAAATAAATAAACTTTTCTACAGTTACTTCTTGTCATTGAACGTGGTGTTTTCCATGTTGCTTAGATAATTAATTTAGTTTGCCATTCCTTCAAGGTGGCTTTGGTGAAGGAGACAGTTGATGAAGAGAATGAAAGAGAGCATCAGAAAGACTAATTAAATGAACATCTACTGAGAGACTCTATAATGGTATCAGTTAAATGTTTAATCTCCAATTCCAAAATATTTTGAGGTTATATATTCTATACCTTATAAATTCAACATAAGAAATCATTGTGAATTTTGCTTTTAACCATTTTCCAACTACACTCATTCTGCTCTCTCAACTTATATAAAATTGCTACTATGAGATCTACCTCATTGATCTCCTTTAAAAGTCTGAAGATCTCAATCAGATCTCCTCATAGACATCTTTTACTAAGACTGAAAATGTTCAGTTTCTTCAGCCTATTTTATTATTCACCTCCTTAAGCATCAAAATAAGTATTGTCTTGTAATTGTATCTTGATATTTGCCAGTTTCCCTAGTATTGTACCATCAACAAATTCAATTAGTTTGCTACTGAACTCCTGAGCAATATTATGTGTATATTGTGAGGGTTAACTATGATTCTAGGATCAACATCTGTGCAACTCTGTTGCCCAAGACAGTCATTCCTTCTCTATTACTCTCTGTACTACATTGGAGTCAGTTTCAAATCTTTTTGATTGGCACACCACCAATCCCCACTGCTATTTGAGTTGCACTGATAAGATGCATAAGAATATGAAGCAACAGAGTGGTGAATTGACTAGAGTTGCAGGTGCACCCTTTGTCTGAACTCAGTTAATTTACTTGAAATTTCACTACTACCCACAGACATGGTTAAAGATTAAACAATGCATAAACATCAACAAGTAATACATGACAGGTATATTTTGTTATAAGAAAAATGTATACAATGAAAAATTAGTAACAAATGTTTAGAAGGATGAAAATAGTACAATTTGATGCAGCATAACATTCACACTGAATACAGGGGATTTTTAAAAGGCAAATATTCATGCTTGGGAAAACATACTCAGTTTGTAAGTTTCAAACTG